GGGAGTGTACCCACGTCTGCGATCCCGACCCGAACCCTGCCGAACCCACCTCATCGGGCCACTGCGGGTCGGCCGGACTCATGTACACACTGAGTGTCAGGCCGGGTCGGAAGTCTCGCGTGCGACACTCCTCCAGCCGTGTGATGTCGGTACCGTTGGAGCCCCACCAGCCGACCACGCCTGACGGGGTCTCCGAGCCCGAGCCGCACTGGCCCGGAACACCTGGCCAGAGGAGATGTGGGGTCACAAGTGGACACGGCGCCGAAGACAGAGTGACAGAGCGACAGGGAAGACAAAGTGGACCACAAGCACGAGCATGGAAGAATTCAACATTAGGCTGACGTTGTACTTACCCCTCGCACCGACGGGGGGGCGGATATCCACCCCCCCCCTGAGGTTTTTCGCGAATAGCGGGAAAACCGCGGCGCGTAGCGCCGCGAAATTTGGTATGACTATAACCATATCAATTTTACACATGGTGTGCAAGTTTGAACCTCCTACCTTTTAAGGTCAGGTCACCAGGTCACTTTGAATGACCCAACCTCAAGTCACTTTTTGCAACTTTGTCACCGTGGCAGAGCTACAGTAGATGTCGGAGGCCTTTGAAAGTCGCAGGATATTATGAGGTCATTAGTAACTACAATTTGTATATCTCGGAATTTTGATATCGGTGACCTAAGGTCAGGTCAATTTCGCGACCTCCCCATTATAAGTAAATGGGGGAAAAATCAACTCCCTGTTTTTACCACTAAAACGGGTCGGAATGGCCCCATATACCATACATGACTTCATATACGATCAACCTTCACTACCTTGAGGTCTGTTTTGCTGTTGGGCAGCTGTGAGGTCATGTGACGTCATCAAAGGTCACCAAAGGTTTTTGGCCAATAACTCCGTACAGGAACAAGATACAGACGCGTGGATGGTCTCATTGTGTTCAGCTCGTCAAGACGCATCGAATGATATACATGATGACCTCGAGGTCACGTGACCTGAGGTCAACCTTTGACCTTGACCTTTCGAGGTCAACATATATATCATTCGATGCGGATTGACGAGAGGATCACGATGATGCCCTTAGTTTGTTCCTATCTTGACTAATTCGAAAGTTATTCGAGAAAAACTCTCCATATCTAGCGCCGCCATTTTGACTTTTTCGACCCCTGTGACGTCATTTTTGACCTGACCTGAAAATGACCTTAGTAAAAATTGTAGATCTTGGCCGTGCGTATCCGATGCCGTTTACCGCTTGTCGCTATCTTGCTTCGTTCTCGAGATCTCGGGGGGGGGGGGCGGTCATCCGCCCCCCCCCCCGTCGGTACGAAGTTGGCGCAGACCCCCGTCGGTGCGCGGGTTAATGATAAAAGAATTAGACGCTTAGCCGTGACACCCAAGCAGAGCATCCATATACAAGTGAGACATAGGCTCGAATGAATACCAATTCCACAAATAAACAGGTTACGATGGCAGCACGAATGCAGTTGACAGAAAAAAGGAAATGCAGTGTTATACCATGAATATGAGCAGAAATAAAACACCTTTTGACTATGAAAAATGAATAGTGGTTCGATTCTCGATTATCCGAGAAGTTCGTCCATGTTTCCGGTCCGAGTAAATGACTTACCGTCGGCGCGGTGGCAGGCGGCATTCTGGACGCACCAGGCACAGCCGGCGCCGTGCACCACACACGCCTGGCAGTGTCGGAGCGCTGCGCACACACCCGGGCACGGGGACGACTGCAGGTTACTGGTACACGCGCTACCCTGGCTGCGGCCGACACAGCGTCCCTGCGGGCACCAGCCGCACACGGGATTCGCCGTGCAGGACGACTGGGTGTTGTGGCGCGCGCACATGGCGTCCCGGCTGGCCGGCCGGCTGGCGGGTGCCACCATGGTGTCGGGGAGGGTGTAGGCCAGCAGGTGACCGGACACGGAGCCGTGGTAGCCGCCGAACATGAGTAGTGTGCTGCCGTCCAGTAGGGAGGCCGACGAGCCGAACAGGCCGAACGGCAGCGGGTAGGTGGACGCTGTGGGACGGAGGCGAACAGGTCAGACCAGGTCAGAGTGGCTAGCAACAATGGAAGAATGAAAAAAACGGACACGAAAAACACCAAGGTTTCTAAAAGGCAAAGTCATGTAGAACAGGGTCAAATAGGACAAAAAGACGATGCATTTAAGGGTCGTGAGTAAAATACAATTTTAAAAAATATGCACACCAAGCATAACACGAAAACAAAAGACCACGTCCTCAGGACTATCTGACTCCTTGAGCTTAGTCTTGACCTGACCGAAAACCACCCCAACTTAACTAAGACCTGCCAGCCGGCCTACTCACAGTCGGAGGTCATCTCGAGGACGCCGTGGTTGACCCAGGTGTGGCAGCGAAGGCTGTAGAAGAAAATCTGGTGGTCGTAGCAGACATTCTCCCGCCGGTGACGGTGGGAATAGCCGCCGAATACCACCATGTAGTCGCCTGACGGAAGTAACAGAGAAAATATTACCATAAGTCGGGAGGGGGGGGGGAGTGAGAGGAACGCAATTATGGCAAGCAGAATAGGAACAATTAACCACAAACTGGCATTCAAATTTGAACAAGCATATTGTCATTTGAAGAGAAACAACAAACGTTGACGGTGTTGATGTAGAGTCTCCACAGCTAACTGAGAAAATACAACTCGCGTAACATTATGGTTCATTGGAAGGTTTTTCCACTTCCAAAAAGCTCTTCCCTAAGTGGAAAAAGCTCGACTTCCACTTAGATGTGCCCTGCCTACACCTTAGACCCCACTCGATCATTGCTTGGCAGCAAAATTTAGTGATTCGGACAGAACTCGTCCCCAAAGAAACTCACCGGCAATCTGCGCCACGTGGAAGGCGCGCTCGAGCGGCACGTGCGTATCGAGCTGCTGCGCGGGCGGATACACCAGCTCAGACCATACGAGCTCCCTCACATGGAACGCAAACAGTCGGTGAGACAGCATCGGCAGTCGATCGATATCCACCGCCAGACCTCCATAGACGAGCAGAGAGTCGGACGCCGCGTGATAGAGCGTCGAGTGACCCACGAGACGAAGACTGAGCTCGCTACCACCGCGAGGAGATACTATCTCCCAGTGTGCACCGGACGCGTCCACCGTCAGCCTCCAGAGGTCGCCGTGAACGGTGTCCCCGGCGCCGGCTCCTGCCAGTAGATACAGAGCGCCCTCCGGACCGGTGGTGAGGGTATGGTGCACGCGCGCAGTGGGCCGCGGACGAGCCGCCAGCGGTCGCCAGGAGCCCGAGGTAACGTTGTACGACCAGAGATCGTCCAGAAGACGACGGTCGGCTCCTTGGCCGCCGTGGATGAGAAGCTGGTCAGTACCGAGAACGGCAGAGGCGTGACCGAACCGCGCCGGCGGCCAGCAGAGGGCGCGTGGCGGCGAGCCGCAGACTTCCTCTGGTGTTCGCCGCCTCCAGACGCCACTGGTTAGGTCATACTCGGCTAGATCGTCGAGCGCGCTGTTGAGATCGTATCCTCCAAACACCACAAACCGACGTGCTGTCGGGAACAGCGCGGCGGCGTGGCGCGCACGGGCCAGGGACGGCGCCTCGTCTAACACGTGCCACCGGTTACCGGGCCGGCCGCCGCCCAGGCCGCAGTCGCGGCCCGAGAAACCCGGTCGGCAGAGGCAGCCATCCGGTCCGCAGGCGCCCTGACCGGCGGCAGCGTGACAGTCGGCCGGACAGCGCGGCCACTGGCAGCGCGGCCCGACCCGGTCCGGCTGACAGTGGCACACGCCCGCCTCGCAGCGGCCCACGCCCGAACAGTCGCCTGGACACTCGGTCACCGCGTACCGAGCCAGGAAGCCGGACATGACGTAGTTCTTGTCGCTGAAGAATAGCACCGTCATCTGTGGTGGAAAGAAATAGCGCATCAGACTTGGACAGACCAAACGATTAAATTACTGATGATAGCCTATTACAATGCATCGTTTATAAAAAAAAAAATCAGAACGGTCGTCGTCAATGATTTCCTCACTGACTCACCTTCATTTCTCACTCCTAACTCACAACCCCGTCACAAACTCACCGTCCCCGACTCGGCGACCAGCGGCGGCGGCACGGTCCGACCCCGGCCGCTAAAGCTGCCCAGCAGTCGGGTGTGGGGCTCGATACCGTCGTACACAAACACCTGGTCGTAGGAACACTCCGTGTCCAGCTCCTCGAACGTCAGCAGTATGTAGCGACCCGCTGTGTCGTTAGCTGTCGACAGAAGGCGGGAAGTTCGGTGATCTCACAAGAACAATATGGGGAAGTTGATATGGGTCCCACGGACATAATCGAACTTTAAATACACCAGCCTATCACGAATTGCCTTGACCGCATTTAAAAGATAAAACGACGTACGATTCTGGCAAAAAAAAAGAAGTAGGTGGTATATAACAAAACAATCTTTGTGCAAATCAACAACACTGCCTAAATGCAGCGCACCATCACACTGCTCTGTCCCGTCGACTCACGTTTGATGATCCACTGGCAGTAGGTGTCATTGCCGTGCTCGCCGGGCCCGTCACCGATGACGCCGCTCTCGGCCGTCATCAGATGACGGTCTCGGCGGCAGGCGCCGGCAGCGACGGCCGCACAGCAGAGCAGTGCCGCCGCCGCCAGGGGTAGCCGCCATGGCGGCCACATGTTGGCCAGCGGGCCAGCTTAGCGGGATTCACGCCTGGAATGAACAGCGGGCGATAGAGGGGTAGGGGTTAGTCGGAAGCGTCCACGTGTTGGAAACAGAGCGAGAACGATCAGTAACCAGTGGAGTGATACGATACCTGTAATTATTTAGCTAAGCAATTTCGCTAGTGTATGCCGTACGGATAAAATAGCTGGCAAAAATGTCCACAATCATATTGACGTTAGTGTGAACCTAAAGGGTAAGGTTTCCGTCCCAAAATTCGGTCGCATGAGATTCGAGGCTGAAAAAGTATGTTGCTGGACCATCGTGGACAGAAAGCTGAAATTGGTCATCGTAATACGGCAAGCCAACCGGTTCAACACTTAATAACTACCAATTCAACGATAAAGGTACGGTGATAAAAATACGCATTTTACCGACAACATAAAGTCAACATTCAATTATAATTATGCCCTATAACTGATCGCCAAAGACTACTATCGAAACATTATAGACGTCAGAGAAACCCTGCACCCTGCAAAGCCACCGTCCACCGACGTATGCTGTGCGCCGCGCCCTTCTAGCCCCCTCCGAGAGCATGACGGTGAATTAATATCGATCTCGGTACTATTCCACAACACCCAGTCTATCACGATGCACTGTTCCGTCTGGGTCATTCGCCCTGCAGACACCGAGCAGACAGCCTGAACCGCGACGCCGCAGTCCCGTCCGGCGTACTCCAGAATCATGGACACCTGGCGGTTCTACAGCGAGCTGACGGAGCCTGACGACTACAACGGGCTCGGGCGAGCGGCTCAGGTCGGCCGGCCGGGGCGGCCCGTCACCGTCTCCCTCCACGAGACGCCGGTGCCGCTCGTGTGTGTCACGCTCTTCGTCATCCTGTTGACACCGCCCGAGTACTGGCTGCTGCGCAACTGCCTGGTCCTCGGCATGTTCATGGGATACGCCGGCTGCCGGTGCTATCGTCTGTTCTGCGGTGATGAGACGCGGGACGTAGAGCCGCTCAGCCGTCCCGGGCCGACCAAACCGCCGCCCGCCTGGAGCGCCGCTGACGCTGACGCTAACGCCGCCGCTGCCGCTGCTGATGACGATGGAGGCAACTCGCCGCCAGCCTATCAATACGCTGTGCAGGTCGATGCTGGTCAGCAGCTGCCGAATTTCACCAAGTCCATGACGCAGTTCGGCAGTGTCGAATTGTAGCGATCGTTTAAGTTCCCATCAAGTCAAGAGAACATGCTTCTGGACCCCTGGAACACCTCTAGCTAGAGTGTGGCAGTGTGTACACAATGATCCAGCATTGCAGAAATAGTGATCAGTGAGGTGCACCCCAATTCTAAGCATTGCACAAATAAATATCAGTGTGGTGGTTGTGGTGTCTGGCAGTGCTGGGTCAGCTTGGTTGCAGTAACTGCAATCAGTAGCACTTAAGGCAGCAGAAAGTTGACAGTGATAACCAAAAACAGGTGATCAACAGCAGTTAAAATACTTTTAAGCAACTGGTCACATATTCATACAATATTGAAGAATACTCCTTATTCTAGTATGTTATATTTAAACAAAGAGCACAAATGGCTTATGCAAACAAAATGGTTATCTAGAGCATTATTCAGGCAACTCTTGAGCCAGAATGATGGATGAATTGATACAGTGCCACCTCAACCTTGGACTTTGGAACCATTGGAATTTACAACAACACGGTGAGGAAGTAAGACAAATACAACATTTTTGGAGCTTGCATGTAGACTAGACAGTTTTTACTTTTTATGGCTCCACTGTTTTGACTTATAATTAATTAATGCTGTACTGAAACTCCATGTACCTATAAAGCTCCATTTTCTATAGCCTTGCATTTGGCAAACACAAGACTCATGAAATGACAGCCAACAGGTAAAGCACAGCAGTCAGCAGTCAGCACACAAATACACAGACACACATACACACACACAATGGCCTGGTTCATTGACTGTCCTTGACATTAGGGTCTGAGAGGTCAAGCGGCCTTCCTTGGGCTTAATCTTTCACTTATCTTAACTGACTTTTGTTGAACACTACTAGCTGAATTAAGTACTGTTCAACATGAGCCTTCTGATAAACTCTTCTTTGAAAAAGAAATAACAGTGTAGATAAAAATAACCACATTTTTAAAAGAAACGAGTGACATAAATTCATAAATTGATGCATAACCATTATTTCAACCATTATTATAATATTATTTATATTATATAACCATTCATTAGCCGGGTACACAACGACGCAAACCGGAGTGGGCCAGCGAGGCCCACTGGTGGGCTAACACGCGGTTCACACCACGCTCCACATCGCCTCCCAAAATCCCACTACAAACGGTTTTGATAAATGGTTAACACCAATAAAGTGTCTAGTTTTGATTGTACGACGTCTGTTTAGTTCTTACACACAAAAAAAGCATAAAATTCTCTCCAAGAAACAATATTTACTTTGTGCTTTTGGCGTGATGTGAGTTGGCCTTTACCTGGCATCGACTTGGCCAGCTAAGCCATCTTCCCCGGAGATGGCCAGGCTGGCCAAGTCGTATTTCAATCGCCTCTCAAAACTTCTGACTTAGCACTTTATCTCATGCTTTAGCACCTTATTCCACACAGCTCTGCGTCCGCCATATTGGTTGACGACCGGCGGCGATATGTGGCGCAATTATAGCAGCAAGTAAATATGAGTTGTATGCGTTGTATGTTTTGAGGAAAGTCAGGTAGGAGGTTTCGGCTGTGTTATATGTTTTTTCTATGCTTGGTTATTTTAATTACTTGCGTTTACGATACTTTTTTGTTGACAGTTTTGTTTCTAAGGTGTGTATTGTAATGAATGGGTTTTGTGTTATCATCGAAAGTGAATAAATATCACAATGTCTGACATACATACATACACTTGTCTAGCTTGTGGGCTCTGAGACGCAGCATGGCAGTAATAGTAGTAGGTACGACAATCCATCTTGCTTTGTCGGACACGTGTTTTACTTTTCATGCAGGCTGATTAACATTAAAATTGACGAAGGGTGAAATATGTTATTTGTGTGCTAAATTTAGCCTGAGATACTGAACTAACGTTGACTGTTGAGATAACTATAGGGTGGAGACTTCCACTGGCGCCCAACTGGCGTATAACTGAGCAACGTCCAAGTTGGCGTCTAACTGTTGGACGGAGACTTCCAAGCTAGACGTGTCTTAAGTTAGCATTTGCCAGGTGGACGCAGCCGCTGTCCAGCTAGACGCGTCTAAGATTTTGACGCGTCTAGCTGGATGTGTAATGGAAGTCTCCACCCAATATTTTTCATTCTTTGGGAAGGTGCATGCAATCAGTTTATTTAATTATAACCTGATGGCATACATGCCTTCAGATGATTTGATAATTGTTTATTGTTGGGTTGTGTGTTGTCTTCATTAAAAACATTTGACTGAAGTGGTTTTTTTTTCCTTCTCTTTTCCAGGTTCAAGGGCAGTGGGGACTGGAGAAGATGGGCACTGGGCAGATATTCAACAGAAATGTACACACGGCAAGATTGTTTCTAGAACCTATTGCTGTTTTCCCTTATTATAAAAAAACAGATTTGAGGCTTAACTTTTCACTACTGATATCACAAGAAATGATATGCTGATTACATGCATCAAGTCAAAAGTATGAAAAGTGAAGTAAAATGTTATGGCCTATGGCTTATGAGTGATCAGTGAAGAGATAGGTACAACACCAGGGAATAAGTTAATATTTGTGGGAATTGTAATAGCAACTCAGCTTGAACTCGCAATCTTCTCTGGACTCAGTTTCTGGAAAGGCTCTTTGTTTTTTTCCTGTTTCGCATTCACATTTCAAGTATGTATGTTGAATAGGTTTGTGTGTTAAATAGAATTAGTAAAATATGTACTTGCAAAGCATCAAGTGACAAGTGTATAAGTTCATTTCTGTTTTCTGCCTATTCTTATGTTGTGTGCAACTTCTCAAATGCTTGTGTTAACTGTGATGCTATAGAACTAGAAGAATAAACAAAACCTGATAAGCTACACATCTTTTGTGCATGTGCGTATGTAAGGTGACAGCCAAGGCCAAGGGTGAATTGGTCAAGACCTGACACTTGACAGTATACCTTTTTGAGATGTTCAGTTGAAAGTTGTAACACGATTGAATGGCGATTCAGAGTTATACACCGTTCAAAAAGTTTTATTGAAGTCATTTGGACAGGCCACAGGGATACCCTTCAACGCAGAGTACCAGGGGATCTATTCAGAGGCAATGAATGCTGAGGGTGGGCGAGCAGCCGGAAGCTTTGCTAGTTAGTCAGGGCATATATTAAGGCACTTACTGCGTCCCATTTTGGACGCAGCCCCCTCGCCTTGGGACGTAGCCCCTGCTGATTTGACCGACTGCGTCCCTGCCCTGTGCCCTGCCCGGTTCCCTGACCTGTGCCCTGCTCTCTGCCCTGACCTTTGCGGGCTGTGCCCCGCTCTCTGTCCTGCCCTGTTCCCTACCCTGTGTCTTGCTCTCTGCTCTCTGCCCTGTACCCTTCCCTCTAAAGTTTCCTGTGTCATGCCCTGTATCCTGTCGTGTCCTGCTCTCTGCCCTCCTCAGTGCCTTGCCCTGTTCATTACCCTGTGCCCTTAGTCGTAGCACGTGCCCTCTGCTCAACTTTGGGAAGCAGTAAAAAAAATGTTTGAATATGGCCTGTAGTTACTTAGTTAGTGGTTAAGTCGGATGTTCACATCATTCCATACATTATACTGCGTAAAATTGGGGCAATCGTAGGATCTATGCCCAATGATCTCATGGTCTGTATCTGCCACCAATAGCCAAAGGCCCGCAATAGGCCAAGGACCTCAGATTTTGACATATGATTCGGGTCTCCGCCCTAGAAGTCGAAGCTGCGTACGGTTTATGAAGATTGGAGATGCAGGTTCCCGAGTGTTTGCTGCTCATTTGTGGTTTCTTGCATATAAGGGGATATTTTGACTCTGCTATGGCTCAAATGTCTTTTACTTTTTAATGTTATAATCAACTGTGTGCATCTGAACTCTAGAAGTTGTCGTAAGAGATATAAAAGGCGAAAAATATTCCCTTCGTTACGCATCTCTACCAGGGAAGTTGCTTGATTTGGCATATTTAGTCTAAAGATAGTTCAAGATATAGTAGGAACTATAACCGCTAATAAATTATGCAATACCGCATTTCTATTTAAAATAAATGCTACTTTGAAATATATTTTGACCTATGAGCACATGTCTACATATTATTAGCTCGCAACTCATCTGTACTTTATTGTTATTTTCTAAAATATAGAAGAATCCATAAACAACTAGGGCTAGACTTTATTCCTTCCTACTGAAACGGGCCTCGCTGGCCCTCTAGATGGCTTAGCTCGACCCCCACCGGACACGATTTGGTAGCCGAGGTCTGTGACGTCAGCCGGGCGTGAAGTTTTCCCTTCACCATAGGCTTCACACACAAACTGGCCGAAGTTCATGCCAGGATAGCCCGGCTTGAAAGTGCAAAAATGATTAAATTTTGCCCTCAATAGATTCATTGCTTCATTTTATAACTAAAAACGTCCGTTATTAGGCCTCAATGAAGGTAAAAAGTACTCAAAATCGAAGTTCAAGAAGATGCTGTCCGAGCACAATCTGGTAACATCACGTGACCTCTTTTAAGCAGAATGTATATAATTCAAGGATGTTATTACACGATTGCTGCCTAAAACATCATAAATAATACGCTTGTAACATTTATTGCTTCTGTTTAGGTCATAACATTGCAAAACGCAAAGTTTATCATTGCAGTCACGTGACCAAAGGTATAGCAGGGGTTGGGACAAGCACTCAAAAGATTTCAAGTTTTTTAATTAAATTATATAAGTTTCATGATGAAATTGAAAGAATGTATTTTTTCCTAATGAAATACAAATTTTCGTATGTAAAATATTTTCCTTATGGGCGAAATTCTCCATATAAGAAATGTCAGTGACGTCACCTGGGCTTTACTCAAAACACCCGACCAACATCCGACCTACCTGTTTCTTATAGATATCTTGGCTTAGCTGGCCAAGTCCGATTAGCGTCGTTGTGAACCCGGCTATTGTATTTGTATGGCATGCCCACGGCCCACCTCACCTTCAACTCATTCAGTTGATTCCTGAAGGACATAACAATTCAAATTAGGCCCTCTGCGAAACGTGTCGTGGAATAAAATAGGTATATCTTGAAGTAAGGTCTTTAGTTATCCCACATACCAAACGACAATTACCGCACCCGTGTAAAATTACTATTATTGAATAATTGCCAAACCCCCCCAAACAGCACAGAGCGACACAAAAAAAAACTGCGCCTCAATTGTCGCGTAATAAATAATATGCATTACTACATATACCAGAAAAATAGTCAACAAATAACGTCATCAAAACTAATTTATATTCTGCTTGTTTGTTTAATTTTCTGGAGATTATAGAACCTCACTTTAAAATACAGTGGAAACGAGCTTAATTATATTCGATTTCCAAAAAAATGTTATTTAAAAAATCAAAATAATTTTTTTCGTTTGGGGAACGATGGCGAAAAGCATGCGAAAAGGCTTTGCTCTTGATGACGTCATTTCAAGATCACTTCTTTTGAATTTCACTTTTTGTCTGTTGTGTGGTAAACAAACAAACAACCAAGCAACAAACAACCATCTTTTCATGCCATTTCTGAATGATATAAAGGTACGTTTAATTGAATTTTCTGGTGATTTTTCAATTGGTTATTTCCCCCAATTCCCTCGTACTATTTAGCTATTTAGTTGAGTTAGACACATTTTCTCAAAGTGTTATTTTTCATCAGTTTGCGTGCCAATTTTTACCTATGTATGTTGAATGTATAATGGTGTCAAACTGAAACATTGCAATATTACTGTTGTTTTTATTCTTGCCTGTCCTTTGATAGTTGCTGAGTGTTACTAATCAATTTATTGATTCTGCCTCCCTGAGAAATAAGCGATTATCATTGACATGCTGTATGACCCTCTAGATGACGAGCATCAGTGAAATATGTGAGAGTACGAGGATGGCTCGTGAGATGGCCCTGCTTGGAAATTATGAGTCAGCTACTGTATACTACCAGGGGGTTGTGCAGCAAATCCATCGGCTACTGCAGACAATACAGGATCCATCCAGGAAACTCAAATGGCAACAGGTGAACTCTGAAAATATGGTGAAATGTGGTGAATGCTTAGCAACTGTCTTATCTCAAAATTGATTGGTCTTATTTTATATAGCAGGTAACTATATGCAACATACCTAGCTGTTATGATGGGATTACTTTAGCATCCTTCATACAAATCAGTCAACACTGCTGTAATGACTAATGAGTATCCTGTTGTGAAATCTTACATGTAGTTTACTTTTGCTCAGGTCCAGCAGCACATTGCCAGAGAGTACGAGCAGGTGAATGGCATCACTCACACGCTGAGCCTCTTCCGTGCTGGAGACCATGATAGCCGACCAATTGGTGAGACAAGCTCTGGGAAAGAGGCAAGGTCAAGTTGACTTGTACAACTATATTGTGTGTGGGCACACATGAGCATCCCTCATTTTCAGTTAACTTGAAAAATATCTACAAAAGACTAAGTGGTATCTTGACGACTAAGTATCTTATTTAAAGACTTATTATTCTTATTATTATTTATTATTTATTATTATTATTATATTATATCTTATTATTTAAAGACTAAGTATCTTGGCATCTCAATCAGTAAAGCAGCAGGAGTAAAATTGTCTTAGATAAGTATCAAATTTCAATATATGTATCAGCAGCTGGAAGTGTACAGGAAAGTGACTGAATGAAGTGACAGTAGACTGAATTGGAGTGATAACTATTTTCCTGGCTTTCAGTAATCTGGTAAATAAAAGAGCTAAATTTAAAACAAGTAAGGCAGTTTTGCTTTAATTAACTGCTAACTGCGGCTTCCTAATTAACTGTCATTTATTGTGAAACATCGGTTCTCTGTTTAAAGGGACTATCCCACCTTCTAAAATGTTGTTAAAACCAGTTAAATTGTGCCCGACTTTATAGATTGGATGACCAGGAACACGGTTCTGGCATTTATTTTTTCATTAAACATCTTAGGCTTCCCATATTCCAAACACAAACTTTCAAATATGTGACGTCACAGCCCAAAATTACCTCCTTCCCCAGGCCACATTACTGCCATAAAGCCGATTCTTTTTACTCTGTAGGCACCACACCGAAGTTCAGACCAAGTTTTAAGCGATTTTTCAACGAACAAACCCATTTAAATCAGAATGACTAAACGAGGTGACGTCACACTAACGGTCGCTCCATGTTGAAGATAGGGCCTTGCACAAGGCCCATTTTCAAATGAAGGGAACGAATTTCTTCAGCACCAAGAGGCCACGGGGGTTGCAACCTAGATAGATAGTGGTTTCTGAACCTCGCCGCAAACTTGGCTATCTCAACTCAAACCCCATGTTAAAGGTGGGATAGTCCCTTTAAGATCCATCATGCCTTTCCGACCATTTACATAAGCCGGCAATGATGCACAACGCACGTTCCGACCGCAAAACGTTATCACCGGCCATTCTCTCGACAGGCACTTCGCTGCGCGCCTCGTCGTTCGAGGAGCCAACCCGTGACCCGGATGTGTGGCCGCCCCCTCCGCCGCGAGACCCCGACGTTTGGCCGGCACCCACCACCACAGAGCACAAGTGAGTCGCTGTCTCAGGTTTGTGTACCTCCATCCTGTGGAGGATATTTTCCGGCGCACTGGGGACTTCGGGTCTTTGACTAGCTTGTTAGGCCGAGAATCGCGACTTTGTGCATCTTTCAAAATCGGTATATTTTACTCCAAGCGCCTTTTTATGCAGGAATACCAGACTAGCTTGACGTCCGTAAAGCTTATTTCTGACCCCAACTTAGGTCATGACTGGCATGCTACCTTCACACGACATGTACTTGCGACCTGACTCACCTGGTTGGGTTCCTCGTCACTACTGTAGAGTCAGTCGTAGGCGAGAATAGGCGAGTGTAGGATCTCCCGCATCTCTGACGGCTCTTGACTCTCTCTCCCTCCCCCGCCGTCAGACCCTCTCCGCAGGTACGACCGGTGCGCGGGCCCAAGAAGACCGACTCAAAGCCGCCGTCCCGCAACTCGCGTAACAGCGGCGTGGGTGGCTCCACGTCTAAGAGAACCGGTGGCACGTCCAAGAGTCGCCGCGAGGACAGCAAGAGCAGCGACCGGCGCAACAAGGGCAGCCGCGACGACAAAAAGGCTGACGATAAGGTAGGACTCGGCTACTGCTAAATGTTTGTGAAGGTGGAACGATACAAGCCTTTGGTCAGCTCTGCTTCGTGAGGACTGTCAATCTGGTTGGTGTTGTGGAAAGTTCCGACCATTTTCTGTGGAATTCTATCGGAAAAACGAACTGCGATTCATTTTCTGCTCCTCCATGGTTGTCCAGCATATCACTTCTACCGTGTGACCCTCAGGGCGGTGATAAGAGCGGTGACCCGAAGGAGGGCGGCAGCGGCGGCGCAGAGGGCGGCGACGACGAGGAGGAGAAGCGATTCGACCCCTCCGGCTACGACCGCGACCTGGTGGAGATGCTGGAGCGCGACATCGTCCAAAAGAACCCGGACGTGCGTTGGGACGACATCGCCGACCTGCACGAGGCCAAGCGGCTGCTGGAGGAGGCCGTCGTGCTGCCCATGTGGATGCCGGACTTCTTCAAGGTGTGTGTTATCGGCAGAGGGGGCGTAAGCTGATGGTGGAAGGTGGCAGAATTAGTCACTGGTTAGCGTTCTTCCTGCTACTGCTATCATCCTTCAATAAATTGTGTAGCCCTCTGTCTCGGTAGGTACTGAAATATCGAAAGTTTATTTGTCCTCTCTCTCTCTCTCTCTCTCTCTCTCTCTCTCTCTCTCTCTCTCTCTCTCTCTCTCTCTCTCTCTCTCTCTCTCTCTCTCTCTCTCTCTCTCTCTCTCTCTCTCCCTCCCCCCCACCATTCCTTTTTCCTTCCCCATAGAACACCCGACTCTAACCTTTTCTCCCCCCCCCCAGGGCATCCGTCGTCCGTGGAAGGGGGTGCTGATGGTCGGCCCGCCCGGCACCGGCAAGACGATGCTGGCTAAGGCGGTGGCCACCGAGTGCGGCACCACCTTCTTCAACGTGTCCTCGTCGACGCTGACGTCCAAGTACCGCGGGGAGTCGGAGAAACTCGTCAGACTCCTGTTCGAGATGGTGAGATCGACGGGGATCGACGGATTTCTCATGACAGATGTTGGTGCCCGACGGAACCCTGACTGCCTGGTGTGAAATAGAGTTGCTCACTTATGACATGCATTCACAATTCACATGTTTCTTTTATGATCCTTATCTGGGGCCCTCGCAACAGCCTTACTGGGACTCGTTATGTTTCTATAACTGCTAGATTTGCTGAGTGAACCGCATGCTTTTGTTGTTGTCGTTGTCAAGGTTGTCTAATGTCTTTTATTATGAGTTTTTTTTTTTGCCATGAGCTGACCGTATGCTGTTCTTTACAGGCCCGTTTCTATGCGCCTTCCACGATCTTTGTGGACGAGATCGACTCGTTGTGCTCCCGGCGCGGCTCAGAGACCGAACACGAGGCCTCCCGACGGGTGAGTTTGATACTGAACACGAGGCCTCCCGACGAGTGCGTTTAATACTGAACACGAGGCCTCCCGACGGGTACGTTTCACCGGGTGCCACCTTCCTTCGGGCGGAGAATAAAACGCGCAAACGTTTCGCGTTTCGGTATGTGTTGTTCCCCGACGGTTGGTTCAGGTGGTAACGCTGATTTGTGTGAGTACGGTCAGTTGGCTGCGAATACCTCGTCAGGGGTCGGAACTGTCGACTATTTTCTGGTCGGCGCGATGGTGGTGATCAGCCTCGTAGTCTCGTGATAGAGCCAATTATCTATCTACAGTTTCTGTGCTGTTTCAATACTTCCACCCTAAAGAGTTTTCACTTTTAATTTCTGATTTATTGTCAGTGACGTGACGTGAAGGGTGTGGACATTGCATTTCTGGGTCTCTCAACCTCTGCAGATCGCTGACAGCTTGCCATCGCCTCCAGGTGAAATCGGAGCTACTGATGCAGATGGACGGCATCAGCTCGTCCCAGGACGACCCCTGCAAGATCGTGATGGTGCTGGCAGCTACCAACTTCCCCTGGGACATTGACGAGGCGCTGCGGCGGCGACTGGAGAAGCGCATCTACATCCCGCTGCCTAATAGTATGTCGGGGAGGAGTTGGGCGGGGAGGGTATATCAGGAATGGACTATGAAAAGGATACGCGAGGATTTGGTGGGATTGGGGAAGGGTGGAAGGCACTGCGTAACTAGAGGGAAACAAGGACGTAGATGTACATAAGGGACGAAATGGCCCGTTGCGTAGTGATACACAAGACTGAATCGGGATCAAATAAGAGCAGAGCACGGAGACGTGTGTGAATGAAGTATACATTAGAGTTCAGTAGAATGAAAACGTATATCAGAATGGGGCTATCAGAAACATGCTATAATGACACCGGTTCTATGCGCTAACTTAACCCGCGCCCCGTAGGGGGGGCCGAAACGGCCCCCCTGTCCTTTTCGGTCGATATCTCCTAAACGGCTGGAGATATCGCCACCAAACTTTCAGGACCCCTCCGGGCATCAATTTTACACATTGTGACCAAAAAATTTTCCAGAGGCTATGATAGGTTGGCCACAAATGACGTCAGAATGACGTCATGTTCTGTCATTTTCGACCGAAAAAAGACCTTCGCGAGAAGACCTGTCAGGCCTACAGCTTTGAAGATACAGAAAAATGATCAGACATAAAAGGTGTAGAATTGACAGGGCTACAAAACTGCTATCTCGGATTTTTGAAATTTTTGAGTATTGACCCCCAAAAATCAAAAAAACATTTTTTGGATATATTAGCCAAAAAATCCAAAAAGTTTTTTGAGTTTCGAAAAAACCGGAATATATGTGATAGTGCCTACCGTCTTCTATCTACATACCAAATTTCAGATCGATACCTCGTTTTTTGGCCAAGTTACAGCGAAAAAAAAACTGTTCAAAAATGATGACGTCAAATTTTCAAACTCAATTTTTGGCACTTCTAGACCTCGTAGAGCAAAACAAAGACCACCATTAGACTCCCCGTGACGAGCTGCATCGAATCGATACCCATTTTATGCAAAAATATCAACTTTGAAATTTGACCTAATTTGACCTGACCTTGACCTGACCTTCACCAAAACGTGACCTAGGCTGGCCCCAAAGGCTGCCTAACCCACATAATCGCATTTATCATGTAAAATGGACCATAAAACATGTATCACACGACACTTTCATATTGTGACCCCGGTGACCTGACCTCGCTGTGACCTGACCTGGTATCAGTGACCTCAGATAGCAAAGTATGTGTTTGACGAACAATGTACCATCGATGGTTTTCAAGAAATTACCAATTTACTCGATTTCACAACACATTTCTTGAAATGCCTGTGAACGGTGAAAATCTTACCTTTGACCTGACCTGTGACGTCATCGGTTTGACCTAGGTCAATGAAATTTGGTCACAAGGTAGTTCCCGGGTGGGGCTATCGAACGCCGTTTGAATTTTGAAAATCGGCCGGTAACTTTCCGAGATCTTAGGGGGGGGCCGGGGGGGCCGAAACGCCCCCCCCCCCCTACGGGTGGTAGGGTCCGCCGGTAGCCCTACGGGGCGCGGGTTAACCCCGAACGAAGTTTAGCAATGAGTGCGAATTACGTGATTAGAGTACCCCAGAGACGCCAGTTTTGGCGAGTACCACGCTAAGTAGCATGACTCAGTTAGGAGCTGATCGTCTCTCTAGCTGCCATCGATTCTTCTTATCTACCAGCGTACTATGTGTCTGACGTCCCGTCTCACTGTACCCTCCAGGTAACGGCCGGGAGGCTCTGCTGCGTATCAACCTGCGTGAGGTAGCCACCGATCCGGAGCTGGACCTCAAGTCCGTGGCCGACCGGCTGGACGGCTACTCGGGAGCCGACATCACCAATGTGTGCAGGTCAGAGCCGGCTGCGGCGCCGGCGTGAGTCATGCTGACGCAGTGTGTGAAGGGAGGTCGCTGGCAACACCGGGTGTCAGTTCAGGCTTTTCTGTAAATATGCTCGATCGATTAGTAATTGGAGTGATAAACGGGCTCGGTAACCAAGCTAAAAATGTATGCGTTTTTTTACGTAATATGTGGTATCCATTACCTTTCTAAGTGCTATCCTTACTTTGGATCTGTTCCAGTCGCACTTCCTAACACCTCTAAACTCCTCCAAGAGCAAGGTAGAGGAGGTTGGAGCAGGGCCCTCCTTGGCTTTGTAGGGGCTAGAGCTGCCAATGGAACAGGGAAGCAATCTTGGAGGAGTTTAGAGGTGTTAGGAACTGCGACTGGAACAGACTCTTTGTGACATAGGCGTCAAACGCAGAGTCGTCATCCCACTGCGGTCTTTATGCAACAGCTCTACACTAATCTCGTCTGACCCTCCCCTATCGTGTCCGCCTCTCACGTTTCTCTCTCGCCGGCTGCAGGGACGCCTCCATGATGTCAATGCGTCGTAAGATAGCCGGCCTTCGCCCCGAAGAGATCCGCGCGCTGCCCAAGGAGGAGCTGGAGCTACCCGTCACCGACCACGACTTCAACGAGGCCATCGAGCGCTGCAACAAGTCCGTCTCCGCCAGCGACCTCGAGAAGTACCAGGCCTGGATGAACGAGTTCGGGTCCAGCTAGGAGGGAGGCGCGGTGGGATCGGGGTGACTTGGAAGAACGTAAACGGAAAGGAAAGAAGGAAGGATGACGGAACACCAAAGCGTTGGAGAACACAACTACAAGGGTGGGGTGGATTATTTAATATCATGGAGGGCAGACCGCAGGATTTAGAGATTAAGCTGTCAGTTTCACTAGGATTAACCCTCGCCCGTATAGGGGGGGGGGGGGTCGAACGGACCCCCCCCCCTCGGTTTTTCGCGAATAACTCGCGTAAAAAGCGGCCGATCGCGACGAAACTTTCAGTACCCTCGCGTTAATCAATTTTACACCTACCCTGAAATTTTCATGACCCTGACCCTAATGACCTTTGACCTGTGACCTACTTTTCGAGACCATGTTTGGCCGGAATCGCGATTCGGCGTATGTCGGCTCGCATTAGCCGCGCGTTTGCAGTCTTTTCGTGGTTTCAAGCGTTCAAACATGGGATATGATGTTGCTCCCATGCATTAGGGTGGGTGTCAAGGTCACCGGAAGGTCAGGTCAGGTCATTGACCTTTGATGACCTCGGTTCACTTTTTCGAGTTTTACATGTTTCTAGGCCAGTTTTTGGAGCTGAATTCGAATTTAGCAACCATATGAACATTTACGAAGTAGTTTTGGCACCTTCGTAACATGTTACGAAGCTGTCAGAGGCGGCTGCCACCTACTACGAATACCCTTACTGGTTGACCTGACCTGACCTGACCCGACCTGGCCTAAATGCATGAAGACATCATCTGTGATCAAAACTAACATGATATTCGTGATCAGCACCCCGAAAAACCCCATAGCAGCCACGCTTTACGACTTTCTAACAGGTCCCGATTTCCCCGACTTTTGGGTCATTGACCTGACCTGGAAGGTCAACCGATGACCTAGGACCTTAAAATTGGGTATCATCGGCTTCCTCTCGTCACGGGCAACACGCTCGTTTTTTTCGCGAAGCTCTAGCTCGATCAGGGGCGAAACGGCAAGGGGGGGGTCCAACGGACCCCCCCCCCCCCCCCTTATACGTTCGCGGCTGGAAAAACACCAATACGGGCGAGGGTTAAGAAGAATAGGGACGGCACCAGATCTGGGATAGAGTGGAGAACGGGACGGCAGCACCGGACGCTTTGGCATGAGCCAGGTCGGTAAGATCTTCCGGCTGGGGTGGAAATGGCGGGCTTGGCAGAAAAACTATAAATGGGGGAATAACGTCCGAATCGCCCATTTTTTTGTGGGTTGGGTTGGGGGCGACCTTCAGTGGAAAGCCTCGGGTTCCGGATAGGGTGGGTTGGAAAAACACGGAACAAATAGTGCATGGACGCGTTTCGATTATTAAATCTTCATCAGCATGACATCACAGAGAAAACAAGATATAGCACACAAACATTCGAGCTCGTCACAGTGCAATCGTCTTGATTTTAAAAATTCATGCATATGACATATTCGCTACTAATCCACCTGTAGGAGAATATCCACGAAAAATGATAGCAAAATAGATCACTGACATACATATGACACATGGATAACATCAAATTTGTACAGAACGATCATGAACAAGTAGGTACTTATACAAACTAATGACGCGTCTTCTTCAAACTATACATCGCCGCTGGTTTTGCCCATTTCATCGAACCCACCCTAATATTAATCGTTTCGTTCATTGCTATAAATGCCGCCTCTGTCGCCTTCCGATTGTCTTTGTTTTTACATAATGCTATAATTTCCGCCCCACCCCATCTTGGTAAATGATGTGTTTTCTGAGCATGAATTACTACCGCGCTATGTTCTGCGTTGTTTCGCATGTCCCGCTTGTGTTCCTTTAATCTAACGTCTAAGCCCCTCCCGGTTTCCCCTATATATGATTTGTCACAAGAACCACAAGGAATCTTATACACTAAACTTTTTTCTTCTCCATTTCTTTTTGTGTGGTTTTTTAGTATATCCCCTACCTTTGTTCCCGAAGAGAAAGCGATTTTAAATCCAGTCATTTCAATCTGTTTCGCTATCATCTCGGCTGGTTTCGAATTGGGAAGTGTTATATATCGTTCGGTTTTCTTCGTCTTTGTTGTCGCGCTTCGCTTTCGAATATTGATAGCTTTTCTTTTCAAGTTGACTAGAAATCCTTTGGGGTACTTTAACTTCGTGAACGATGCCATGATGTGCTGAATCTCTTCATCTATAAACTCTTCACTACAAATGCGATACGCTCTAAGGAAAAACCCCAAAACAATCCCACTTTTAACCCGATCATTGTGTCCAGAATAGAAATGTACGTACGACTCTTTGTTTGTAGGCTTTCGATACACTTTAAATTTTGGCTGACTCCCACGTATGATCACAGTATCAAGAAATGCAATCGTCCCGTTGCTTTCTTAGCGCGACAACAAAGACGAAGAAAACCGAACGATATATAACACTTCCCAATTCGAAACCAGCCGAGATGATAGCGAAACAGATTGAAATGACTGGATTTAAAATCGCTTTCTCTTCGGGAACAAAGGTAGGGGATATACTAAAAAACCACACAAAAAGAAATGGAGAAGAAAAAAGTTTAGTGTATAAGATTCCTTGTGGTTCTTGTGACAAATCATATATAGGGGAAACCGGGAGGGGCTTAGACGTTAGATTAAAGGAACATAAGCGGGACATGCGAAACAACGCAGAACATAGCGCGGTAGTAATTCATGCTCAGAAAACACATCATTTACCAAGATGGGGTGGGGCGGAAATTATAGCATTATGTAAAAACAGACAATCGGAAGGCGACAGAGGCGGCATTTATAGCAATGAACGAAACGATTAATATTAGGGTGGGTTCGATGAAATGGGCAAAACCAGCGGCGATGTATAGTTTGAAGAAGACGCGTCATTAGTTTGTATAAGTACCTACTTGTTCATGATCGTTCTGTACAAATTTGATGTTATCCATGTGTCATATGTATGTCAGTGATCTATTTTGCTATCATTTTTCGTGGATATTCTCCTACAGGTGGATTAGTAGCGAATATGTCATATGCATGAATTTTTAAAATCAAGACGATTGCACTGTGACGAGCTCGAATGTTTGTGTGCTATATCTTGTTTTCTCTGTGATGTCATGCTGATGAAGATTTAATAATCGAAACGCGTCCATGCACTATTTGTTCCGTGTTTTTCTACTTGTCTCCATCAATATACAGGGTGGGTTGGCTGTCAGTGAAGACCTCCGGCTCTCCGGGGGGGGGGGGGGGGCATACAGTGGCAGCTGAGACGAGTAATCTCGAGAGCAGAGGCGCATCTATTTAACAGAGGGATAAATGACGCTAAGTGAACGGGAAAATATGTGGACGGCTGGTCGCATTGTTGATTGGAACGGCGAACCCAAAGTAAGAACGAGGACTGTGGCCGAAGCAGTTCGTCACAATGTTGAGGGTTACGGCAGGAACGGCGAGCAGATGGTTGCGGCGTGGGTGGGTGGGTTAGCCGACAGGCAGCGGCTCGATTTGGGATGGATACAGCTGGATGGCCACACCACAGTGTGTACGAGAAATAGGCAGCTTTTACTTACTCTATGTGCGCGTGCTACGGGCCCGTTTGTTTATCGGGTGGCACTGTGATACTAACGCAACTACCAGCCGCTGCACGCCTTTTGTTAGTAACCTGTTGCCTTCTGGAGCTATGGTGTGAAACTGATGTACTCATATGGTTGGGAAATGGGCAGGAACAGCAAGCTTCACGTCAGGAGCAGTTTATGACGTAAAATAACATGTTGGAGCCTGGCAGCAAGAAGTCTGTTAGGATCAACGTATTTATGAAACTATGCACATAATCATGTCGGAAATCTAAGAGCGTGCTTGACTGACTGAACACGACACAACTTTCGATAGCGAGTACGCACGTTTTGTAGTGAACTTTAAAAATTCGCTACATTGCGGCTAGCGCTGTAATAATCCAGTGCTGGCTGAGTTAGACCAGATTTGATCTTTGGGAACATATATCCATTCCGATGTTGATATTTTCAGCGTCTGTTTGTCTTTTGCACGTCTCATAATGATAATACACGATCAACTCACATGGCTGTTTTGTATTTGCACACAGGGAGTCTGAAGTCCAATAAAGCCAACAGCAAATGTTTTCATTCAATTCTGGTTCGATGCTGAACTTGTCATCGTACAGGTCGGAGGACGCATGGGCTGTACCGAACGATGGTTGCATGAGAAAACAGCAGCTGTTAAATTACTTCTTGGGTGCATTTTAAAGCCCATGGCACATGGACAAGCGGCGGGAAAAAACGGGTCTCGATACCACCCACGGGAATGGCAGCACATGTTAGTAGAAAACCTCTCGGGATCCCACACATCACACAGGAAGACTGACCAAAGCCCCATAATCTCCCGCATAACAAATCTGTCGATAGTATGACAAATATTCTGCCTCTGGTATCACATTTTGCGTCTTCATCTGTCCTTCCTGGCCTTACCAACACCGACCGCTATTCGCCCATACCCATCGTAACGCTTTATCGACCGCTCTGGCTGCATTGCCCGCACATATCCCTCCTCCCCAGTCAACCGTCTGTCTTTCCGTCCACCCGGTCGCCGCTGCGCCACTCTACTGGGCCTTCTTGGTTCCGCGCACCTTCCAGGCTGTCAGCAGTCGGCTGGAGAAGAACAGGGAGAATATGTGCACCTGCAGGGCCACCAGCAGGAAGGCCATGTTCACCATCGAGTACGGGAAACCCTGCAGGAGGAGGGGCCGGTGAGATCGTCAGCGGGGGAAGCAGGGCGTGTGTGGAGATTTGAACCGGTCAGTTACGAGTTACGAGCTGCTTTTTGACGAGTCTGTGCTTCAGACTTTCGACCAAACGTATGCGAGTATTGTGTTGAGTTCGCAAGTTCCAATATAAAAACTTTTCCAAAAAAGTTAAAATGATGACTGCTTAATGTAAACGACGATCAACAAAGCTCCGCAGTACGAGTATGTCACAGAAAGTAAGTTCGGAAACAATAATTTCCCCACTTACTCTCCTCAAATATCATCCTCAACCAACCTCTTAATATTCTGTCTGTGACAAACAATAGACAGCAAGGGCCTCACCTGCCAGACACGCTGGCCCTCTGCAGAGCCGGTCGATACAAACTCGTAGGCCTCGGGCAGGTAGAAGAAGAAAGCGAAAACCACCGGAGCAAGGCCCAGCGCCACCACACCGCCTGTAAGATCGGTGGGTGTCGGTTAGCAATCATACATGGCGCTAGTGTGAACAGTGAGATGCGGTATGACGAGTACTAGCGTAAAATGCGCAAAAATATATTTGAGTGGGCTGAGCGCGATATTCGTGGTCCATCGGCTGCGGAGGCAAGGTCTATGTTCTGCGGTGTATCTAAATTATATCAACACAAGTGACGCCCTAGTCGGTAAACGTCATGGATAAAGCACATAATTTCGACGCGCCCGTAAACCCTAATAAACAACCAAAAAACACATTATTTTTCGCTTTGCATCAATAAAGGTACAAAAAACAATGGGGAAATAAAGGGCGATTTAAGAAAGCAATCCATCAACTACAATGCTAGCAATGCTGGGCTGCAGGATACGCGCCCACTGCGTGGCCAGACTACCGCGTCCGCCGAAGCCACCTTTGCTCCGCGCGCCGCCCCGACACGAATGCCTGACGCCGCCCCTGACAGGCGAGGTCGGGGCCGGCGCCCGGGGTCAGGTTGGGTCACGTCGCGCGTGCCAGAGTGACCCGAGAGCTGACGGAGTTGGCGGTGGTGCGTGTATTGACAGCGAGGGCGACTAATTGAGGAAGTTTACCAGAGTGAACTCGCCGAGTGGAGCGCCGGGCGGAGAAATATATCGACGTTTCAGGTAAGTGGGTGATTGATTAAGTTTATTTCCGCCTGGTGACAATAAATGATTATCGGGAGGCCCATGCTTGAAGTGAAATTCAGACCCGGGGCGCACATGGTGATAAGCAGCATTTCTTTTCCAATTTCCATCGTTATGCAAACGGTAGTGCTATTTTCGTGTGTTATCTATGTGTTTAGTTATAACCAAAGAAACAGCTTAACCCTCGGACTTATAGGGGGCGAACGGCCCTCAGTTTTTCGCGAATACCTCGCGAAACAATTGGCCGATCACAACGAAAATTTCAGTACCCACGAGTTGATCAATTTTATGACTTGACCCATATGGCATTCGACCTGTCTGTGACCTACCTATTTCTCGAGACCATATCAGGCCAGATTCCACGCTTGCCAGTGCATATCATCCGTGTGTTCACTGTCCAGTCTTTTTGTGGATGTAAGCGTTCCAACATGTAAAATGCTGTTTGTCTCATACATTATGGTGGCTGTCAAGGACACGTGAAGGTCAGGTCAAGGCCATTGACCTTAATTTTTTCGAGTTATGCATTCTTCCTAAATAGTTTTTGGAACTGATTTCGAATTTTGCACCCATTTGAGCATTTCAGCGGTAGTTTTGGTGCCTATGCAACATGTTAGGAGCCATTAGTGTTGGTTGCCGGCTATCCATTTCCATTCACTACTATGGAAATGGATAGCCGGCAGGACGCCCACTGATTGTTCTGACCTGACCCGACTTACCCTAAACGCATGAAAGCATCGTTTTCTTTATCAAAACTAACATGAAATTCTCTATCAGTACCCGAAAAAATCACTACAACCTTAATTTACGAAGTTCTAGCGCATCCCGATTTTGACGACTTTTAGGCCATTGACCTGACCTTGAAGGTCAATCGGTGAACAAGGACCTTGAAATTTGGCATCATGGGCTTTCTCTTGTCACGGGCAACACACTCGTTTTTCCGCGAAGCTCTAGTTCGATTAGAGGCCGAAAGGCAACGGGGTCCAACGGACCCCCACCCCCAGCCCCGCCCCACCCTGTACGTTAGCGGCTGACAAAACACCAATACCGGCGAGGGATAAAACTGCCCGTCCCGTGGCTTGGTTGGTGGAGCATCAGACTGCCGGTGGGAACCGGCAAAACCAGGGCCCTGTTTCACCGGTGATAGCAGCACGCTGCTATCACACGTGTCAAATTGGGTTTCCATGGAAACATCAACAAGCCATGGCGTCGCCAAACTGTGTGATGTCATCAAATATTGCTGCTAACATCTTCACGGCCATGCGATCAAACAAATGTATCAAACGCAATTTAACGAGACAGCAACTCTGTTCCAAACGTAGCTCACGGATTACACGAAACGTCATTAGTGTGACCTCGTCACATTACGTCAGCTCGCGCAATTTGATAGTAGCGTGCTGCTATCACCGGTGAAACAGGGCCCAGGGGGCAGGGCTCGGGCAAAATCTTCAAGACCGGCCCTCGATACAATTACCATGGTGTTGACGGGAATGGTTGACGCCTGGCGGTTGGTGGACCTGCTCCCGAGTTAGTCAGTTGAGTGAGTCGACCAACAAACCGTGTCCCGCTACGATAGGCAGATGGCACGCTCAACTTTGGTGTCAGAACTAACCCGATTCAACCCGCAATCGCGGGATACAGCAGTAAAGGTCGGAGCCTTACAAAAAATATAAGTAAAATAAAAACATTTAGAATACACCTTGGCTTCCACCCAGCCATTCAAAGTGCAAGGATTCTAGATAAGTGTATAAAAATAGGAATCATGTTTATGAACTTGGTAGGAATCAAATATTTGGTTTCTTTAGTGAATATTTGTTTAGAAAACGCCTCTTTTATTTTCATGGAAAAAAAAATGAATGATGAAGTCCATGTCCAGCCATATGCATGACCTTGGCTCTTGTGATCTCTACCAACTGCCAAGGCATTTTTAAACTATAAACAAAACTTTATTTCTTTAGAAGACATGTGCCAAAAGATAGCAAAACAATAATCATTTCACAAATAGTCAATATTCTTGGGATGTCTGATAGAATATCATCAGATGGTCGCAGTCGGGACTCAGGAAAAACTCTTTCTCCATTATTTCAAACTAACAACTTACCAATGTAGACTTGTAGAAGGAAAGAGCTATTCTTCCTGCATGCTGAGAGGGCGAATATTGAGTATAGGATACTAAATGTCCAGAGGTACTCCCATTTCACAGGCTGAAATAGAGAAATATGTTAATTGTGAATCAAACATCATTAATCAAGCTGCATTTGGTATCTGTGTGATTATCTTGCAACTGTTGCAAGGTACTGATACCACAAAGATAAGTTGTGACAATATAATGATATCAACACTGAAATGAATGTGCATTGCAGACTTATACAAATTGCTTTTGATAAACATAAATAAATAGCTGTGACAAATACCTGGGGCATTTCTAGTTCTTCAACTTCTAAAATAAATATGTTCAGCTTGTCCAGGATGTCTGGCAGAAGCTTCAGCAGCATTACAATGGCCAGGAGGAGATGAAAGAACAGGCAGCATTTCAGCCTTGTTTTAGTCTGGGCACTGAAAACAGAGCAGGCATGGTCATTAACATTAGTTGCTATCACAGAAAGTACTAAAAAGTTACCTTTCGGCTTTCATATAATAGGGGAAGTTGGGGGAACGCCGAACACTTTTTTTCTGACGCCCGTAGCACGCAAGGTAGACAACATAAGCTATTCTTGTTGGCGTCATTTGAGAGGCCAGTCTTTTGTCTTTCAAACATACCAGGCGCATTTGATGAATTCGCATACCGTTAAGCGCAAAAACTAAAAATATCAAAGAACTGACTTTTTCGGCGTTGCCCCGGACTGCGGGGAAAGCCGAAAATGGGATAAATGATCTACAAGGAATGCCGACATTGATGTTTTGCCAATTTATCTCAAACTTTATCCAAAATTCATCAAAGCTGACACGTGTTTTAAGAGCTTGAGGACGCTTGGTGCACACTGGAAGTTATAATTGTGTGATATAATAAGAAAATGCCAGGTAAATCATTCCTTATAGGTAACAGGCCGTTGTGCCGGCTGAAAGTGTAATTTGTTTGACTAAAAATACGCGTTGCTATTCTACAGCAGTAAAGTCCACGTAGCGTGCTTTAACGTGCGTAATTGCACGTTTTCGGCAGTACCCCAGCCAGCCATACTTTCATTTGCAGGCCCATAACTTTTAAACGTGCTGTATAAATTTCAAATAGGCAGCACACTTATGCAAAGACATGCTGAAGATTACTTGACTGAATTGGCCAGACAAACGGTAGCATAATGAGTAAGAAATGCAGCTTCAAAGGCGCATGTAGTACAAGGGAAACGTACCTTGAAAACGCTTTTGGCGCCCTCACAGCCGAAGTATTCCAAATGACGACTCGTAACAAACATGCGATAATTGTAGTCACTTAAGCTTCAGAGCATCACTGAGACGTGGCATCCATGTCGTACGGTTTTAGAAATATCTCGAATTTCGGCTTTGCCCCAACTCCGGCATTGCCCCAACTTCCCCTATAATCCAACTTTGTCTGCAAGCATAAGAAGAAAACCCTTTGAGCAGCTGTTGTAAACAGGGCCATTTGACTATTTCAAATGTCATTCTAATTCAAATGAGTTGCTAATGTCTTGCAGCAAAATGGGATTCACCTTTAGCTGAACAGAGTGCCCATGACAATGGCAAACCCCATTGGGATGAGTAAGCTTTGTGTTTAAGTTTAATCCGAACAAAATGCGTAAAGCAATACCAATCACAATGGATTCTGTGACCCCAGTAGCCAGTAGGTACTTGAACATTTGAAAACCAAGAAGGACATGTTACATTAAAACAAATACCTATAAAAAAAAACTAAATATTTATGAAAAAGATATCCAACATACTGATACAGGGCTGAGGACTTTCAGGGTTCTGAGGTATTTACATGGCTGTAATAAAACTGCAAGTATAAATGTCTAACACAATGTACAGTCTGTCTTAAAAGTACCGCGCAAAGTGGCGGTGGATCCATCAAGCCTGACCGAGAAAGGTCTGCTTTAATTTGAAAGTCACCGAACCAATTGAGCTGGGGAATGGACGAGGATGTCCATTGCTTCGGTGACCCAAATTTAGCAGGCCCTTCCCCAGTCAGGCTCGATGGATCCACCGCCACTTTGCGCGGTACTTTTAAGACAGACTGTACACAATCAGTTAAACTGCATATTTGTATATCAAATAATTAAGCTGACTTACCTGACTTTGTACTGCGATGCTACACGTTCCCTGTGAAGAAAATCCCTTCCATCTGTCCCCATTACAGTTGGACCATTCATTGAAGCCATGATCACGGATAAGAGAAGCAAACTATCTTTTCAGCAGCTACTACTTTTTATGCTCGACAAATTCTGGATATTCCAGCCCCACCCTTGATACTAAATATTTATTTTATGAAACTCTATCCCATGCCAAAGCTAGCACATTACGGACGACGGTGAAAACAGGGCGCCTGGGGCGATTTGATCAAGGTTCGTGAAATTTACACGTGACGTTTGGGATATAGAAGATCCTTGAAGCGGGAGAAGTTCCAAATGTCACGTGACTAATATGCCCTCCGGCGCCCTGTTTTCACCGGCGTCCCACATTACGGGATCCGGGGTCAGGGCATGGATGAAGTATTCCTGGATAGGACACTCCCTATTCCCCAGCACTAGCGCCGGCGACCAAGCGGCCGCCCTGGTGGCGGAGCTCCGAAACATCGGCGGCGAGTGCGCCGGCGGCCGCCGCACCGGCTTGCGTGCTAAAAACGCGGTAATGGAGGGCGAAATTAGCGAACTTTCGCTCATAAGACACAATTTCAGACACTTTAAACATAATTTTTAGTCCTTTCTTATAATTATTATGGCTCCATTTAGTCACTATCACATACGGAATCATTACCTGATGCCCATAAACTGAGCCGGTATTCTTGACTTGCCGATGCAATTTATAATCAAATATCATCGTTCCTCGGCAGTCAAACAAGTTCCTATTGATGATTTAATACAAATATCAACTTATTTTCATGTTATCGCATAAAACTTGACTTTATTCCAACATTGGCGCTTCGGCTGTAATCACGAACCCTCACTTGTCAGCAGAATTTAAGCAACTTCTTAAAGCAAAACTGGGAAAAGAATATTTCCATGACATTCCTCAAATCCTGTTCTACCTGGTTCACAAAAATTTTCATCAAAATCGGTTATAGGTAAGTAATAAACCACAAAAGTATACAAAAAGACACGCTCCGCCCATAGCCCGCAATGCTAAAATGACGCCAGCGCCCTCGCCGTCGGGAAATCCGCCGCCGCCGCCGGGTGGTCGGAAAATCGGCGGAGTGTCCGATCCAGGAATACCTAATCCATGGTCAGCACGGACGTATAAATAAACTGGACTGACGATCCCAATAGACCTCCTATAGAAGATAGTGAAGCCGACAAGGCGCCATTTTACGTTGCCAAAATCCCGTGCTCTGGAAGGTCATCGAACCATTACAATTGGAATTGCGTCTAAACGGATGATCGGATCGAGATGCTGGTGGTACCGTTTGATGGGTAATGCTTTGAGGCAGGTGATGATGCATGACACAGGTCATTCAGTGTCACGTGGCGCGTGCCACGTGCCGACAAAGTCGGGAAGGGCAAAAACCTTTAAGCGACGCTCCAAATTAAACGGTGGACGGCACAGGTGCCAAATTCACAGGTCACATGTCCCGGTGTTTGACCATTACCATATGGTATGCTCGGCAGCAGGGGGTGCGGAATGCACGCGCCAGGGGCGAAAAACATGTTTTGAGGATGCATCCTCCTATTCCGGAAAATCTTGACCTAGGCACACCAAATTTGGCACACTGACATTACTGGACGAGCGCTTTAAGGCGCTGTGCAAATAGATGTGTTGGGGTACACGGTGCACGTGCTGTGCACGTGCAAACCTTTTGATGTTGCACTCTGTGTCACATATACGGGCAGAGCGGGTAGCGCGAGCAAGCTCAAAGTGCCAAATTTACACAGGCCACCCAGAATGCATTCCAGCATAGTTATTGAGCATATCTATCTCCTGGTGGACCCCAAAGGTGCGCTCTGCACGTGCAAAAAAACTATCCGCGCCGGGCGGTGGGGATGCTTGGACACCCCATGTAGGTTTATGTAAATATCTAAAAAACGGCGTTGTGGAGCGCCACCGTTTTTAGCACACCCTTTCATGAATCTTTTTCACACATGCTGCATAACTTTCAGACCCAGGTCACTCAAGGTTAGGTCACCAGGTTACGTCCAAGTGGCCTTACCTTAGGAAAAGTTATAATGCCCTTCATAGCTACACAGACTGAACAATCGGTCTAAAACGTTGGCGGCGATTACTAAGAGCACCATATAGGTATGCGTAAAGTATCTTATCCATAGTAAAGTATCAATTATCCATATTAAAGTAGCTTATCCATGGTAGGTGTCAACCACCAATGATGGCGTCGTAACATGTTACGAAGGCACTAAAACTATAACTTCTTAAATGTTAAACTGAGTGCTAAATTCGAAATCAGCTCCAAAAACTGTCCTAGAAACGTGTAAAACTCGAAAAGGTGAACCAAGGTCAGTAAAGGTCAGTGACCTTGACCTAATTTTCACGTGACCTTGACACCCACCATATTGCATGTGACCAACATCATATCACATGTTTGAACGCTTGAAACCACGAAAAGACAGCAAACGCGCTGCTAGTGCGCGCCGACTTACGCCGAATCACGATTCCGGCCAAACATGGTCTCGTAATAATAACTTAATATCAGATGCTGATTTACCGCTACTCAGTCAAGTTAGAGCCATTTCTTCTTGGCCGCGGTCACCGGTCCAGGCCACCACATAATCGTATTACACCGCGCTTGCTCAATGCTCAGTTCGTATTGTAAAAGCACTGCGGCACAGCATAGATGCAGGCGCTCTGCTACTGCCATCTATGAGTGAAAGATGAAGATAATGGTTATTGCGGTACAGTATCACTACAGGCGCAAACAACGTGGAAACAAAGATGCCTATGCTGCGCTATCGGGCGATGGTAGCGTAAATTTGAGTTGCTGGGTAGCTAAAAGTTTTGAAGCCCAAATTAGACAAAAGAAATGGTTTGCCGTTTTAAAGACCGTATCAAACAATCTGCGGTTACTCTCAAAATTCTTGCTTTGAGATAATTGGTGATTTGTTTATCAAACTGTGGTACTTACAAGCTATTACCAGCACAGTAACGAACTTCAGGCGACACCGCTCGTCTATGTTTTGTGTCCTAAGTCCTTTGCCTCACGTGAGGGTGATGGGTACCTACTGGAGTAGGCAAAAGTGATATCATCTCCCATTTTCAAATGGATCAGCAGTCAGCACCTAAATGGTGAGCCGACCAGGAGGACCGACGAACGTTGTTGTTGTCATCATCGACCATAGGTGGCCATCGACCATCGACTATCGACCATCGACCATAGGCCAACGTTTTAGACCGATTGTTCAGTCTTTGTGGCTATGACGGGCATTACATATAACTTTTCCTAAGGTAAGGCCACTTGGACGTAACCTGGTGACCTAACCTTGAGTGACCTGGGTCTGAAAGTTATGCAGCATGTGTGAAAAAGATTCATGAAAGGGTGCGCTAAAAACGGTGGCGCTCCACAACGCCGTTTTTGAGATATTTACATAAACCTACATGGGGTGTCCAAGCATCCCCACCGCCCGGCGCGGATAGTTTTTTGCACGTGCAGAGCGCACCTTTGGGGTCCACCAGGAGATAGATATGCTCAATAACTATGCTGGAATGCATTCTGGGTGGCCTGTGTAAATTTGGCACTTTGAGCTTGCTCGCGCTACCCGCTCTGCCCGTATATGTGACACAGAGTGCAACATCAAAAGGTTTGCACGTGCACAGCACGTGCACCGTGTACCCCAGCACATCTATTTGCACAGCGCCTTAAAGCGCTCGTCCAGTAGTGTCAGTGTGCCAAATTTGGTGTGCCTAGGTCAAGGTTTTCCGGAATCGGAGGATGCATCCTCAAAACATGTTTTTCGCCCCTGGCGCGTGCATTCCGCACCCCCTGCTGCCGAGCATACCATATGGTAATGGTCAATCACCGGGACATGTGACATGTGAATTTGGTACCTGTGCCGTCCACCGTTTAATTTGGAGCGTCGCTTAAAGGTTTTTACCCTTCCCGACTTTGCCGGCACGTGGCACGCGCCACGTGACACTGAATGACCTGTGACATGCATCATCACCTGCCTCAAAGCATTACCCATCGAACGGTACCACCAGCATCTCGATCCGATCATCCGTTTAGACGCAATTCCAATTGTAATGGTTCGATGACCTTTCAGAGCACGGGTTTTTGGCAACGTAAAATGGCGCCTTGTCGGCTTCACCTGAATGGAGGTGGTTGCGGGTCCAGTTTAATTATACGTCCGTGATGGTCAGGGACAAGTATCTGCGTCGTGAATGTATTTCCTGCGCTTTGTTGACAGTCTGCCAACTAGAACTGCCATATTCCCAAAGCTACCATATTTGAAAGAAATTCTTCATTTTCTTCATTCTACAGTTTCAGTTCCCTTCACAATTCTTAGCATCGATGACTAAAAGACGATAAGAAAATCATCGGTAGACGGTAACACACCTGCATTGGAGTTCAACTATAAGTGCGGCCGGCGGCTATGTAGGTATCTAAAAAGGTTTAGGCGTAAGCGTGGCCGCCAAAGGAGCGTCAGCGCCCTGCGGGCCGGAGAGGAAGGGTCGCCATGGACCAGGAGATCGCAGATGATTAGGATACCGATGCCAAGGACCATTTCGGCGTGCGAAGGATGACCACTACCAGGAGGGCGCTCGGAACCAGAGCGGCGACTAATTGCTCTGGGCTTCCGTGAAGTTTGAACGGTGCATGTATGCGTGTGCCACCGCCGTCAGACGTGGGACACACAGCACGAGCGTTTGGCGATCGAAATTCGAAAGGAAACGGTAACAATTGAAGGCGATCCAATCCCCAATGGGGACTCTGCCCCGTAGTAAAGGAATCTTGCTCTGCCCCCGCGCCGACCTGCACACTCTAGACCTTGCTCTAGACACTATGTACACAGCTTGCGCCTTGGCGCTTTGACATGGAGGCCGGAGGGTGTTTTGACATCCCCTTAGGCTCTTTGCAAAAGTCCATGACGCTAACGCTGAGCACTGTCATTTTTATCGCGCCCTTTACAAGTTACACTTACAAACTGCAGTTACGACGCTTCTGTTTACACATGCTGTGAAAATATCACAGCAAAACAAAATATTAGGCATTATTGAAGAAACCAAAAAACTGCAAATGAAGTGGACGTGATCCAAATAAACTTAACAGATCATGGGTGTCGTTTTGTATAGGCTTGGTAGGGCCCGAGCCCTACGAATACCTAATTTCAGAATTTTATCGTTAACCATGTGACGTTGCATGGTACGAATGGCTTTGGTACCCTAAAATTAACCATTTGAGCCCTACCAATTAATTTCGGAAAGTGACGCCCGTGTAACAGATTACAATAAACAAACGCTCCCTTATGA